ACGATTTTTCAAGCTTCAGTACGCGAGGCTTCATTTTGTACAGATTTCCACTCCGATCGCAACAACTTTACCATTGTTTAAAAATTCACAATTTTGTCCTACATTTTTAATGAAAAAATCCAAACCCCTTTTGGCTGCAACTTTCACGGAAAACAAATTGTGTTTCATCTCCGGTGTGAATGAAACGTATTTTAAAATTTCAGGAAGCCACTTGTTATCAACGAGTCTATATTTTCTCCAAAGCAATTAGTGTATGTTTTTGTGTCAAAACTACACCTACAAAGGGATGATACTTTTTATGGAGAAAAACTCTCTCTGAAAACCTTTGAAATAGGGTTCTTTAAAAATAAAATTTTAACTATCTTAACCTCACTTTTTTTAGTGACAAATTTAGTTCCTTAATATGTAAAGCCTTTTTCACATTTAAAGCGCAGTTTACACAATCATGGCCTACTGTTATGCCAATTTAAATGAAATGGATTATACATACTTATAATTTGTTGAAAACACTGTGTGTAAGTGTGTATTATTAGTTGCATATTTATTTAACAGCGTAAAATAAACTTGAAAATCGTAAAATATTTACACGCTGTATTAAATATAAAAAACAAGAATAAAACAATAATTTATGAGAAATTTAAATATATTGTTCATTGTTTTAAAACTTACACGATAAAGTCTTTTTTAAAAAGAAGAACACATTTTGTAATTTTTTAACCACAATGACTTTTTTAATTTTGCATTAATTCTACTTAATTTTTTAATCTTCTGATTCACAAAGATGACACAAAATGTTTGAATTGTCAGCAATTTACATAAAGACGATAATTTGACAATTTATTCACATCTGTAATACTTGGAACATATGTAGTTCTAAGTTGTCTAAAGGTCTAAATTTTTATGTGGAAAATTATAAAGACATTGAATAGATTAAGTTCTAACACACATTGTGACGTTTCATTATATAGTATGTGTCAATTGGCATAAATACTGTGACGATTTTTAAAACTTTTCAATGTCTCAAATAAACTTCTTATGGTTTATTGATGTGTTCAAATTTTCTTGTAAGTACTTGAAACTAATTTGTTTTAATATCAATAAACGACTGTTATTATATTTCTAATAAGAGTTTTGTTGTATTGTTAATTGCATATATCTAGTTACTGTATCTTATCACTATTTAGAGATATTTAGAGTTAAAGTTACAATTTGTAAGAGTAAATATTTTTTGTGATAAAGTGTTAGAGATATTTAGATAAATATGAAGTATCATAATTCATAAATAACGCAGTCCGTATTTTTTTCCAAAACAATTTCCCAATTTTCAAAAATTGCACTGTATACCGGATACATCCTTATCTTATCTCTTATCTCTCTATGATTTGAGTATGGCATTTCCATAACAAAAGCTCTATTTTTATCAAATAAACGCAATTGTTAAGGTTAATATTCTGACATGAATTCTTTCTCAAGCACGTGCATGATTAAAAAACTAAGTTTGAAAGTCTACAACAGAAAATAAAATTCATTTACTAAACTTGAAAATTACACCACACCTTACACAGGTTTATTGAGTTAGGTTTACAAATCGTGCAAGTAATTTACTTTTATCAAATTGTAATCGATAGAAATTAAAAGTAAAAAATATTTTTACGATTTGTTGACTTCTTATTAATTGTTGCAAGTTGCACATGTATTTACTAGTCGAGGTATTTAAATGCGCTGACGAACAACAGCGAAACAAACGGTTCTTACCAAATGAATCTGACTAATTAGTTCGAATTATTGTTTGGCGAAAATTGCTCAATGTGCTGGTAAGCGAAAATCAAAAATTAATTCATTACCTCTTCTTTGCTTTTTATCTTCATAATCGAAAAAAACTAAAAAACTACAAAAATTTAAAAATCTCCACTTCTGTTTTTACGAAACTTTAAAACATCTGAGTGGCCAAAAAATAAATTGTGACACTTGCAACATTTTTATTTTAATTTTTTGAATAACTGAAATATTAAACAATTTGGTCACATGTGGGACATCCTGTATTTTAGTAATTGCGTCAATACTTTTATTATTATTACCTAACTAATTTTTTATAGTAATTCGTAAAGTTTAAAACAATAATTGTCTTATCACGTCTTTTGATTATTTTTACGTAAAATTTCATGTTTCTTTTATTTGTAACTAAATTGACTTTCAAAATACCAATTTCTTTAATTGTTAAGAAATACAGAGTGCGCCAGAACTCGTGCCTCAGAGAAAAATTTCAAGTAAGATAAGATACTAGGAACACGGAAAAAATGTTCAAAAAATTTTGACATTTTTTTATGTCTATTTAATGATACTGATGATCTCGTTTATGTTTTTTTACAATTATTTACTAAAGGTACAAAAATTATGCTAATAAAAGACACAAATAACATTGAACAGAGTTATAATTTAGGATACAGCTTCCTTGTTTCCTCTTCTAATAACCTGTAGCAAAAAAACTTGCAAAATTATTTATCGCAATTTAAACTCTCATAACTTTTTTAGAGATAGAATTTTTTTAACATTTTTTTCTATGTTCCTGGTATCTTACCTTTTTCTCTGGGGCGCGAGTTCTGGCGCACCCTGTATATGATGCAGTCTAGGTATGTGCTCTAGAATCAAATTGAGAAATAGTGAAACAATGTGTAACGAGACGTCTACATTTTTCTCACACTTGAGATTAAAACAAACAACTATTTGTAAAGCAAATATATAACATTATTTTTGTAAGAGAAAATTTTGAAATAAAATAAATACCAAGCATGAAATTTAGAAGAAAACATAAAAGAATAAATAATTGATAAAACGTAATTTCTGACGTCACAATCATTGTCGCATTCCACACAATTGGAAAACACTCTAAGCTAAAATACTTATTTGAATGACTGAGATTATTTTTTTTTCAATGTGACAATTTATTGTAAAAAATATGACAACTTGACAAAGTCTTTTTAAATTAAAAAATGGAGTAAATTACAAAATGAAAATTTTTCAAAATTTTTTAAAAACCTCTTCAACCATTTTGACTTTCTGCGACACGAAAATCGCAGGTTGATAAATCAGCACTCAAATTTCGATTAGATGATATCAAACTTGACTTAAATTTCAAGAATCATCCATTATGTCTCAGTAATCGAAATCTTTTGCAGCAAGATGTCTGAAATGAAACTCCCCATCTGCCCCGACGAGGAAATCCCCCGTCCAAGTAAACACCCTTAATTTTCCAACCCTTTTTATCAGAATTTTTTATAGAAAGTTGTCTCGGCGTTCGTCACTCCCAATTCTTTCTCATGTCGTTCACCCTTGTGATTTTTTTCGGCATGAGAACAGCCCTCTCTGTCGGAATCATCGCCATGACCGAGAAAACTCCCCCAGATCCTAGCATACCCGTAAGTAGTTAAAAATTTAGAAAAAATCACTCAAAAAACCTTCCAGACTTATCCCGAATGGAGCGACAGCGACGTTGACACAATCCTTTCATCATTCTTCTGGGGGTACCTCGTCACCCAAATCGTCGCCGGCCAATTGAGCGAGTACTTCGGCCCCAAGTGGTTCCTCGTGGGTACCATGCTCCTAGGCTCTGTTTTCAACATCGTAATCCCAGCTTTGGCCGCTTGTTGGGGCTCAGGAGGAGTGATTCTTTGTCGGGTGGTACAAGGTCTAGCTCAGGGATTTTTGTACCCTTGTATTTTGAACCTTGTGAGTAAATGGACACCGTCGTGTGAACGGTCGCGAGTTATGAGTTTTGTCTACGGAGGCGCTTCAATCGGAATTATCACGTCTATGCCCTTGACTGGGGCTATAGCGGGGTCTACGTGGGGGTGGACAGTCGCGTGTTACCTCTATGGCGGTTTGGGGGTTGCTTGGAGTGGCATTTTTGCATTTTTTGCTGCAAACTCTCCAAATTGTCACAACTGTATCTCCGAGAACGAAAAGTTGTATATTGAAAGTAGTACCTGTGTCAATAATCGATGCACAAAAGTATTGAAACTACTCTAGTGAAGAAAAAATTGTTAAAAAATGTTTTTTAGAAAATCCCAACACCATGGAAGGCTATTTTTACCTCAATGCCCATGTGGGCCATATTTATGGCCAGTTGTGGCTCCAGTTGGGGCTCTTTCACCCTCCTCACCGAAATACCAAGCTACATGTCCAGTGTCATGAACTTCAAAATTAAAGAGGTAACTCAAAAATCACAAAATTGAACCAAATACTCAATTTCTATTCCAGAATAGTCAATTATCTTCTCTCCCTTATGTGGCTTTGCTTTTCGCGGGTCTGCTCGGAGCCCCAATAGCCGATCGTCTCATTACCAAAAAAATCTTCAGTATTAACACAACTCGAAAAATTTTTACCTCTCTTGGGTCCTTTATCCCAGCTGGGGCTTTAATTTACTTGGGTTTTATCGAAAGTGACCAGAAGGATCTCGCAACGGGTCTTTTAGTTGTAGCTGTTGGTACCAGTGCGTTTACCCAAAGTGGGTACTTGGTGAACCCTATTGATATTTCCCCCAATCATGCCGGTACTATCACCGGAATAGTCAACTGTTTTTCGACATTCTTCTCAATTTTGGGGCCCTTATCGGTCGATTGGTTCGGAAGCAGAAAAGTAAGTCACATTTTATTTTTTTCTTTTCTAAATTTTTGAGTTATAGGACGACACAGAACTCTGGTGGAACGTGTTTAGACTTGCCGCAGGTATTTATATCTTTTGCGGCATTTTTTACGTTTTGTTTTCTTCTGGAGCAATACAGCCATGGGATGATAACGATAATAATAATAAACAAGACGAAAAACGTAAGAAAAATAAAAAACAGATTCGAAATAGTAACAGTTTTTTTAGGAATTTCTGAAAAAGAGAAAAAGACTGAAGTGTATGTCATGGACAGTTGAGTGAATCTTTTTTTAGTTTATTTTAATTTATTGCAAATTATTTTATTAAAAAAATTAATTTTGATATGAGTACTTTATTTCCACACTTGGAAACAAATCGCAAATTTTGCGTCACATCTTAAAAATACTTGTCTAGTACCCACTTATTTTAAAAATGTGTTTACAGTCAATTTTTTATTTATCAGATTGATTTTTCTATTATAATAAGTGATAAAAAACAAATAACCACGCTTGTGTAACTAATTTTAGTACCTTGTGCTAGGTCTAAATTGTTTGTATTTTAATTTTTTTGTGTTTAATTGGAAAACAAATTTTATTTCCTTGTTTGTGTTGCAAAATTTTACAAAATCTTTGACTTATCCTTCAAATCAAGTGCAATGTCATGAGATAAAAAACAAAAAGCTTTATTGTTTTTGACCCTTGTCTTTTCTGATAATGAAACGGAAATGGAACAAAACTTGCCTTCCTTTAGGAATTTTTACAATTAACGTCACACGAGTTTTTAGTTAAAAATAAAACTTTATTTGCACAAGATTTCAATTGTCATAATTTAACATTTAACCAAGTCTTTGTTTTCTCATTTTCACTATCACTTTCGTTGCTACAAATACTCAAGATGTGATCCTTGAACTTGTTCACATTTATTTCGCCCAAACTTTGCCTTGGGGTGAAATCCAAGTGAAGATTCGAAGACTTTGAACCCGAAACTGGGAAAATAACATTAAAACTAGTTCAAATTATTATTTTTTTACTCACCTGACTTTTGCATTTGATTCCACTCGTCGATATAAGCAGCGGAGCATAAAGGAGTACTGATTGAGAGTAGTTCGTCAAATTTGGAAAAATCTGCTTCGAATTCTCTTCTGTCGTAGTTAAAATTAAGCAAACTTTGGAATCTTTTCCCCCAAATTATCTCACGTGGCAGATAACTAGTCTTGGCTTGGGTCATCTGACCGGTACTTTGAGTGGTACCTTCGAGCAGTACCACGATTTCAAATCGATTTTGCTTCAAGTCACTCGGTGCCAAATAATACAAAGGTGAGTTTTTTGTAATTTTGTGAAACACAACCAAGGGCCAGTTGAAGAAAATTCTAGTTTTGCAAGCATCTACATTGAGGGGAAGCTCGATTTGGTGGTGGTCCAAAACTTGACCTTCGAGGGTACGTTCAGACCGGACGTAAAATGCCCGGACTTTGGCATCAATAATATGGTTCTTCCGCATGTCACCCATACGGAACATCAAACACAATTTGTTGTTTCTGGGGCATATTACTGCTTTTTTCGAAAATAGGAGAGTTTGTGACCTCAATCGTGGAAGGGTCATTTTTGAGAAAATTATAACCGCCATAATGCCCTGCATTATAAAACCAATGATACACTGCAAGGCATTAACAAAAATGGCTTCCGGGCATTCATCCGTGGTTGCTTTGATGCCATAACCCACTGTATGTTGCGTCTCAATACTGAAAAGTAGACACGAACCAAAATTATTGATGTGGTAAACGCACGGTGTGAAATTGTTCTCTTTCTGCACTGGTGGTAAGTGATCTAGTTCGAAATCACCATGAGAGTAGCAAATTAGCCACCAAATTGCTGCAAAAAATAGCCAGGAAGACAGTAAGGTAAGCAAAAATACCAAAATCGTGAACGTCCACGAGGAATCCACAAGTTTATTGAATTGCAAAAAGACAAATTTTTGGCGTTTTGATTCTGGTCGGTGAATGTTGCAATTGCCGTTTTTGAGAATAATCCTACGACGAGACTTGCAATCATTTGATGATAATCTTTAAAAAAAATATGAGATAATTAAAAGTTAGAGAGAAGTTAGAATTACCTTGTGAAACCCTTACTTTCATGATGGTTGATTGTTTGAAAAAACTGGTGTTTATTTTCAAGCTGTGACTCCATAATGAAGGTGCAAAGAGTAATTTAAGTTTTTAGTGTGCAAATAAATTGCTTATCTGCGAGATAATTCCGGTAGACCTTGTTTACAAAATTTAAAAAAATTGTTGAATGAGTTTAATTCCGTTTGAAAGGTTGACGTTAGTAAATGTTATAAATAGGTTCAAAGATTTGATAATCAAACAAGATTTACGAGAGTGTAACAAAACTTTTATTAGGATAGTATTTTTAGGTATAATCTACTTAAATCTGTTTTAAAAGTGGTAGCTTACAAATAAAACAAAAATTTAAAAAACATAATTATTTAATGCACAATCATAAAGTAATAATCAAATTACCCTGCTTTCAGCATCACCTAACAATTGATATGTAATATGACATTTCAGGTTGAGAAATGACCACTTCCCAACCTGAACTGTCACATTTCATAATTTTCAAAATTTGATATTTTTTATTAGCTTTAAGGAGGATGATTGTAAATAAAATAGTATACAAATTTTGGTGATCTTTGCTTTATCGTATCTCGGCTTATTGCTAAAGTAAATTTTGCCTTGGTATGTAATCTATTACTATTGACTTGATCTTAATCTATAAAAAAGTTCCGTGACTGACTAACAGACAACGCACAACCTAAACCACTAAAGCTAGAAACATGAGGATGTGCTAAAAAAAGAATTTTTTAAAAACCAATTTCTAAGAGGGTGAAATGAGGTGTAAACATTTAAACGAAGATAAAAACATATAACTTGGGAGACATTTCTTAGAGGGTGTAGAAGTACACTAAATTTTTTTTTAACTAATCTCCACGTAGAGAGTGTAGTGGTCCACTAAGAAAGGATTTTTCGATAATATACAGGATGATTCACGAAGAATAATGAGCCTGACCAAATTTTCGATGCAACCAACATTACAGTTGTCGCAAAATAACTTGCGAAAGAAGAGAGTGGAATGGGACGTCAACACCTAAACAAAGATAGAAACACAAAGTTTGGAAAATATTTTTCTTAAAGAGTGTAGAAAGTGCACTAATCAGTCGCTTTTCAAAAACCAATCTTTAACGGTGCAAACATTAAAAAAAATTATTAACATAAAATGTAAAATTTTGAGGGTGTAAAGGTGCTTTAAAAAACAGTTTTTGAAAATCAACTTTTAACAAAGTGAAATGGGCTGTAAACGTTTGTAACGTGCTTTCGTCATTTTCTTAAACATCGGCTTTCTGCTCCCGCGTTGGTTTGAGTTAGTGGTGAATAGATAAACAAACTAACTTCACATTACCTCTTTGAAGTTAACAAATCTAGGTCAAAAAAGTTATCGTCTAAGAAGTACCAAAACTGGTGATTCTAATTCTATGGAAAAATAAAGCACAATTTGCTTTTTTTGAATTTATCAACAATAAAAACTTTAATATGATTAACAAAAAATAAATGTTAATTTAACAAAAAAAGGTTATTGTGCAAATTTATTTGTCGTAGAGCCTTATAAAAATAAAATAAATTTTTGTTTAAACTTTTTATTATTTTTTTTTTTAATTCTTACAGTAATAATTGTAGTTTTTTCAGTATTATCTAAGAAAACTAAGGTGTTAAAACATACACAATAAATAATGCTTAAAAGGAATGCGATTCGACAAAACTTACATAAACTATAAGTTAACAAATCGTGACTAATTAATTACGAGTGATAATATTAAACGTAGCTTGCATTGACTTCCCCAAGCATATCTTCGTCATATCCTTCATAAGAATAATTGGTTCTCGCTGGGCCCTCATTTCTATTAATGGGTGGAGGTGGTCTCAAAACCCTATCCTCCACTCTCTTATCAGGCAAACCCATTGGCTCTAAAATTGCAACATCCAAGCTGTGACTTAAACTATAATAAATATTTATTTTTGGTTTGTAAAAAATACACAAATATCACAAAAGCGTAACGAAACACGTACACTAAATCAATTAGTTGAGAAATAGCACAAAAGCTAAACTGGACTAATTGCTTGACTATCTCCAGAATCTGGAATTTCAGTTAGTGAGGTCTAGTACCACTCCATGGGAAGTGGCTTACCAGGTACATCTTGTAATTTGTAAAATTCGGCCAATTCAGCCCCCGAACACAAGGGGGTGTCGACGGGGTAAGTGTTGTCAAATTTCGAGTAGTTGACTTCGTAACCTTGACGGTCTTTGTTGTAAGAGACGACAGGCTCGAAACGGTGGCCCCACAAAATCTAAAATTTGAATTAAAAATTTGCAAAAAAGGGATTATTTATTATTTTTTAACTTTACCTCAGTGGCTAGATAGCTGGACCTGGCTTGAGTCGTCTGCCCGGTACTCTCCACCGTCCCCTCCAAAATCACCACAATTTCAAACTTGTCTTGTAACATGTCGCTGGCTGAGAGATGGTAAAGTGGCGACTCTTCATCGATTTTGTGTGTGATGGTCATCGGCCAAATGAAGAACAAATTGTTATCACAGCCATCAGCTGAGACACTCAATTCAGTTTGGAAATTGCTCAAAACTTCACCTTCTTTGGTTTTGCGGGCTCTTATCAACTGCGCCCTGATACTGGCCCCTATAATATGACTCTTTCTCATGTCTCCGACTCGGAACATGAGACACAAGTGGCCTTCTCTTTGACATATCACTGCATTTCGGGAGAAGAGCAAAGTTTGGGTTCGCAGCTTGGGTCTGGTCATTTTCGCGAAGACGATGCCCACCATGAAGGCTTGGATCATCATCCCGATGATGCTTTGCATGGACATGATGAAAATGGCTTCGGGGCATTCTTCAGTCGTGGTTCTAACACCTAAAACCAAATAAAAATTTAATTAGAAAAAAAATTAACTCACCATAGCCGATGGTGTGTTGCGTTTCAATGCTGAAGAGATAACACGACGTGAAACTATGAATGTTGAGGACACAAGGCGTCCAATTTGACTCGGCTTGATTCATTGGTAAATGCTCGTCTTCGAGGTCCCCATGTGTGAACATAATCAGCCACCAAATCAGCGCGAAAGCCAGCCATGACACGAAAAACGCCAAAGCGAAGATAATCAGTGTCCATCTCCATTGGATGTCAACAAGAGTTGTGAAAATGTCCTGCAGGAAGCGAAGGCCTCGCTTGGAAATGCGCGATTGTAAAACGTTGCAATCGCCGTTTTTGAACACTGCTCGACGTCGGATTTTACGAACGGCGCCGGGACGAAAGGACTTTCTGAAACAGATCAAGGTTAGGGCTGTTTGACTTGGGGGCGATAATTGCTTTGGCACTTAATTATTTGTCGAGTTGTTTGTTCATCGATTGTGATAATTATGACGTCGATGTTGTGGTTTCAATAAAAGCAAATAAATTGCGTTGGAAGGTGCCAAATCGAAACTAATTCAGATTTGGATAAAAATAAGATTTTGACCGTTTTTAGATCAAAAATAAGATAAGAATAAGATAGTAGTGAATAAAAATAAAATATAGTACTTATCTAAAATAGTGATTATTATTAAGCTCATAAAAGCTTGATGATTGAATAAGGCAAAATAATAACATTTTTAAAGAGCTCAAAAGAAGTCAAAAAAACTAAACTTGTCTTATCCGAATGTTTACAATTTGAGTTGGTGAAGCTTAAGACTGTGCCTCAAATTAAAATTTATTCGACAAACAGAACCCTCTGTATCTCAAAAACTAGATAAGGGAAGTTGAGTTATTTTGATTTCTTTTCAGTTGTACTAGGTATCACCTGTTTGAAAATATTTGCACATACCTTAAAATCACTCTCTATACAAGGTGTGTCAAAAATAGTTACAATAAAAAACTTGTGTTTTTCAGAATGAAACATTGGATGTCTTTAAATGGATGTTCTATTTAAATATTTGAAGATATTTAACTTGTAACAAACTTCTTCTTTTTTACTCTTATAATCGCAATCCGCGACAAAAATATTGTAGCTCCTTTGTTTCATTTCTGCATTTAAAACTGTGAAAACGTTATTTTTCTAAAAATCAATAATAAAAGTCTTGTGAAATATTTTTTTAAACAGTAAAATTATCTACACAAAAATTTCTACCCTTTACTTAAAATACAAATAAATAAATAAATAAATAAATACGAATAATATAGCTATAATATAATGCTATTTGTTTCAAATCAATACTGTTTAACAAAATACATACACAGACGCTGCCTTCTATCACTTTTGAATCACTCTGTAAGTAATAATATCTTCAAAAATCAATTAATTTTAGATAATCCAAACTTGTATAAGTTTTCAAAATTTTAAAAAATTGTAGCTTTAAATTAAAAATTTCAAAAATCGATTTGGTCAGAGAGCTGGCTTTTCTTTGTTTAATTATAATTAACGATCAATTAATTTTCTGTCATTATTTTGATATTTGAAATGAATCAGCATTTCAAAACAGTTTGTAAAAAATATAAAATTATAAACAGAGTGTAAACATTTGACAACATACCATCTCAATATTATCTTAAATAATAATACATACACAGACGATGTATTTTATTATTTTTGAGTCACTTTAGAGCAATTAAATCACAAATAATGAAAATTTTATATTTTTTTCTTTGTTTTATTAATGTTCAATAAATTCTAGTCATTTCTTTTATCAGTTTGTATAAACAATAATTATTATTTTATGTTAAGTGTGCAAAACGGCGTTTTTTTAACGCCAGATAATAACGTGTTTTTGGCTTTTGAAACTCAATTTCACACAGACAAAAAAAACTGTAGCAAATAAAATCTTCAAAAATCAAAGATAATAAAAACATAATAAATTTCAGATTAGATAAGATTGCAGAGAGCTATAAACTCGTCGTAAACCCTTCAAAGAAGTTGTATCTCTTTTTAAAAATCGTGTTTTTGTATAATTTAATGAAAGATATTTTTGTAATTTTTGATATTGTTTAAAAAATTCGAGGCTGAATATCTATTTTATAGCTATATGTTAAAAAAATTGAAAAGCAATTTTTAATATTTTTGAGAAACCCTCTCCAAAAGAAAAAGTTCAGTTAGCTATGTACTTTTTTAAAGCTTCAAGGATTTTTTTATTTAATTTACCACGTTCAAAATATTTATAAAATATAAATTAATTTAAAAAGTTTTTCAGTTAACAGTCTATTGTCGTTTCATATGACGTGATTGAAATGTTTATTTCATTTTTCCGCGATAAATGAGAAAAAATACACACTTTATTGCTATCAGTACCATAAGAATTTTCAACATCTCGTTCAGAAGTCTAATGTTATTGTTTGTTAATCTGATGAAAGAGTTTATTTATTTATAACCTTTTCAGAGCAGTCAAACAAAACAAATTGGTTAAAAATCGAAAAATTATGTCAAACACACCAATATGCGAATCTTGTAAAATAGTCAAGTAGAATTTTCAAAAAATTCGTTGATAGTGTAAAATAAGAAAATACCTGCTGGGCGTTGGCGAAGTGGGCGTTTTGGGGTAATAGTAAATCCCCGGAGTCAATTCCGGGTTTTGGTATTGTCCAGTGGTTGGTATGAGTTGGTTTTTTTCGTTACCATCGGTCGGCGAGTCCATCGTTAACAGCACTCTTACCACTTAACTGATTTATTTAGATATATGTAATCTCATTATAAATGACAGAAGTGTTAAATGCTTCGACAAATTTAAATCCAAATGTTATGATTTACACGCATTTGCTGTCATCAATTAGCGACGGCGGGCGAATTAATTGTAATTTAAAAACTGAGTTACTCCCTAATAAGAGAGCGAGTAACGTGATTTGTTATCTTGTTCAGGTTATTTACTATCAGACTGATAGTTTGGAGGAGCGCATTTTGAGGAAAATTGTCACACTTTTGAGTAAATAGCCTTATCGTCAGAGAAAATCCCATTTAGTAAATAAAAAATTGATTAAAATTTGAGTTCCCAGAGAAAGAATGCGCAGTTAGGCTCACCAACTAGCACAACACTCAAATTATCCAATTGTCGTCCTAAGTGAGCAATTGCATTCTCTACAGGGTGTTCGTTCCGAATTAAATTATTTATTTTTGTAAACAGGTCAAGTACCTTCTACAAAATTGAAATTCACACGTGATTACGTCACATGACTGAGGTGACCTTAAACTGGTAAATTATTGTTTTTCGAAAAGTGTTCAGGTACAAACAGTGTGATTAAATTATTCTTGTGATTAATTTACGTCAATTTGGAGAGGAAGGTACCGGCTGGGTTTTGCAATGTTTTCATTCAGAATATTTTGTTAAAAATGTGAGATAACGTCGACAATGTTTGATCTTGACTTCGTTTACTTTTTACAGGTTGTTCTAGTTATCGGCAATAAATCTAAATGGCTTGATATAGGTCAAATTTTTGCATAAAATAAATGACAAATAAGACAAAAACACTTTTTCAACACTCGGTTCAACCATTCCTAGTGCTTTGACACTCACCTAATGACCGTAATTTTGAAATAAGTATTATTACAGGCTCAGTGTGGTAATGACTATTATCGCACCAATAAATTAAAAGGTTCATATTGTAATATTAGATATTATATTTTATTGCTTCACTGTTTTGTTACTACTGTTTTGATTTAGTTACGAGTTTAAAAAATGTTTTACGCTGAAAATTGTTTACAGAAAAAATTTCACTCATTTAGGCACTTAAATCACTGTCCTAATATCAAATATTTTTTTGAGAATGAGTGAAGTTACACTGAACTTTAAAGAAATAGAAAAACTTGCAACAACTTATGCAATTTTACCTACAAACATTATTATATAAATTTTTAATAAACTTTTAATAAAATAAAAGCCAACAAATCATAAAAAAAATTGTTTCTTAAGAAAAAAATTTGATAGAAACTTACAATGAGCAATAAAACAAACCATCACTTTTCTGATTGATTTTTTAGTAAAAATACAGATAAATCAGCAGTTTTGTCAATAATTTGAAACAAAAATAGGAAAAAGAAAAGACAACTGGACAATCCACACTATTTTGGAACATTTTGGAGATTCATTTCTCGTAAATTTTCAATCGACATTGATCAAAATTTTTGTAATTTAAAAATTTTCATCGCGCCTTTTAAAATGCGTTTTTGTGACCAATTTTTTCACAGTAATGAGATTTTTTTTAATCCCAATTACCTTGATTTAAAAATTAACTCTTTTTGCATTTTTGTGAATAAAAAAAATGTATCTTTTGCAATTTTTAGTTGACAATGAATATTTTACATGTTTTTATACTTAGTTTTGTTTTTATTTATAGATCTTTAAATATTAATTAAAATTAATTAAA